TGAGGGGGGAGGGGGTCTACCGGGGGGGGAACCGGCACAAGGAAGTCCGGGGGAGGGGGGAGGGAAGGAGTGCGGTAGGGGAAGAGACGGTAGAAGGGGACTGACTCGTCGAACGTGACGTCCTGGGAGGACAGAACACGACGAGAGGAGGGGTGGTAAAACTGCCACCCTGGGGCGTCAGTGGGGAAGCCAAGAAAGACACAGGGAGCAGCACGAGGGGACAGCTTGTCCGCAGACAAGTCGCGGACAAACGCCCGAGATCCCCAGACACGGAACACAGACGCATCGCCAACCTTCCCTGTCCACAGCAAGACTGGGGACATCGCAGGCCGAGAGACCCGGGGGTGAAGGTTGAGCTGATGCGCCGCGTACCTCACCGCAAACGGCCACAGAAAATGGGGGGCAGCCGCATGCATCATGGACGTACGAGCGACATCCATGACCATGCCAATGCGGCGCTCAGCAATCCCATTTTGCTGTGGTGAGTCCGGAAGCGTGAAGGTCTGGCGGATCCCCCGTGCACGACAGTAGTCTCGCAGAAGGCGAGAAGAGAACTCTCCGCCTCTGTCAGAGTGCAGACGCAGAACAGGAAAGTCCGAGCCGAAGCTCTTCCTGAGCTGGAGACGAGCCTCGCGGATCCAGTCGATCAGCACCTCAGTGACCTCACCCTTGCTACGCAAGGGGAGGACTGTGGTGTAACGCGAGTAGTCGTCAACCACCAACAGGAAGTATCGCTCGTAACCCTGCCCACGGACGGGGGCAGGGCCCCACACATCCATGTGAAGCGTCTGCAGGGGAGCCTCTGTCGGGGGGAAGTGGGAGGAGTGAGGAGTAGCCCGGAGGCGACCCTCGACACAGGGGACACAGGAAGGTCCTGGCCCGGAGGGGAGAGGAGGGAGAGACTGGGGAAGACCAGAGACAAGGACACGGGAAGCCATGCTCCGAAGACGGGGCAAGGAGGGGTGGCCAAGACGGTGGTGCCACAGGAGAGTCTCGTGAGACAGAAGGCGACAAGAACAGGGGGCAGACTCAGGACCTGACCGGGACGCAGCAGCAAGTACCTGACCCGACGCAGCCACCTGACCAGACGCAGGGACAGGAGGAGACTCAACGGTCAGGGTGTAGAGACTCGACCCCGGCCGACGCGAGAACGTGGCCAGGTGTCGGCCTGTGCGAGCCTCCGTGCAGTGGGTCACCCGCTGACGCGCAGGAGTGAACTGGTGAACACCCCCATCCTGCAGGTCCGCTCCACTCACCAAGTTCGTAGAGAACGAGGGAAGGTACAGACCCGACAGGGTGCCCGAAGGGGCAGCCGGACACGGGAGGACAGTGGAGAAGTGAGACAGGACAGGACCCCCAGAGGGGTCAGCAAGGGAGACCGCAACCGGCCTGGCGAGCGGCGAAAGGGTAGTGCGGTCTCGAAAGAAGGAGCGAGAAGCTCCGGAGTCAAGTGTGAAGGTGAGGGAGGACGAGGACGACTCAGTACCTGAGAACGCAGTCTCACCAGTACCTGAGAGTGCAGACGCACTAGCACCTAGAGCAGCAGCCTCACAAGCACCTAGCGCAGCAGTACCAATGCCCGGGTCGGGCTGGAAACACCGGTAACCCTCATTCTCCTCACTATAATCCACAACATACATAGCAGTAAGGATAGCATCAAAATCAAGATCAAAGATCGCTACACCAGCCCTGAGAAGCTCATCCCAGCGAGGGATCTCACTAGCCCCAGGGAACTGCTGACGCCAGGCGTCCGTCAGGCGGCCAAAGCAGCGCTGGGTGGCGTGGGCACCCCCACACTGCTCACCCGCGCGGTCGCCGGAACGAAGAACGTAGGTGCAGGGACCAGTACCCCCACCCCTCTGACGCCCAGCGTACCACTCACGAAGCTGCTGAGGCGAAGGGATGTCCCGTGAGCGCTGCTGCTGCTGCCGGTGCGAGCGCTGGCCACCACCACCGCCGCTACGCTGCTGGGTACCACCCCGACCAGCTCCACCTCCTCCACCACTACTGCCTCCGCCGCTGCCGCCTCCACTGCCTCCACCTCCGCCGCCTCCACCTCCGCCGCTGCCTCCACCACCACCGCTGGCACCACCACCACCGTCTCCGCCGCTGCTGCCACCACCACCACCACCACCCCCGCCACTAGTCCCGCCGCCACCCCCACTCCCTCCGCCGCCACCGCCGCCACCGCCACCGCCCCCCCCAGCTCCACCCGCGCCCTTGCCTCCCTTGCCCCTGCTGGAGCGACGTCTCCCACTAGGGGCAGACGCCGCGCCGACCGACTCAAGACCAAGCAGGTCGGCAGCAGCAGCAGAGGCAACAGAGGGCAGCAAGGGGGAAGGAGAGCACCCCTCAAAGATGGGGGTGCGAGGGTCACCACGAGAAGCACCTACAGCGACTATGCTCTTCTCCGCTGCAAGGAGGGCCTTCTCGAGGAGGTCGACGGTGAGAGTGGTGGGACAGACTGCGAGAAAGTGGTCCCTGACGACGCGAAGGGAGTCAGGGAGGCGCGCGACTACGTAGTAGAGAGCGATGTACATGGGAGGGGGGTTCCTAGCGCAGAACTCAGCAGGAAGGGCGGCGCGGTAGCGAGTGTCACTAGTGCGGAGGTGCGTAATGAGGTCAGCGACAGTGGGAAAGGCAGAGAGGTCAGGAAAGAGGTAGGGAAGCATGAGACGGCTCAGTGCAGCAGTGGCAGGGGAGGAGTAGCGCGCAACTACAGCGTCGTACAAGGTCTGAGCACTCTTGTACTGACTAAAGTGCGCACGCTCAGAGGTAGGGAGGTGGCGACGCACAGCAAGACGTGCAGCAGCATCGCGGGTGGCCCACTTAGAGCGGACAGCGGGATCAGCATCAGCAGCAGGAGCAGGAGAGGCGCCAGAGGTGAGGTCAAAGAGAGAAAGGTCATCAGCCCTGTCGCACTGTAAGAACAGCTGCAGGTCGTCTAGCCAGACCTCAAAATCAATGGCGCGACCCTCAGCGTCAAAAGCTAGGACACTAGGGGTAGCCATGACGACGACTGTGAAGCAGTGCAAGCAGTAGGGGGGAGAGCACGCAGTGACAGTGGGACTGTGCTCACCAGGCAGGGCAGGTCGCGCAGCTCGACATAAAAGCAGAACGGCGACCGGGCGGCTCGGGTGTACAGCGGATCGGCTCCCGGGCGGCTCGACGGCAGGGCGGCTCGGGTGCAGGGCGGCTCGGCTCCCGGGCGGCTCGGCTGCAGGGCGGCTCGGGTGCAGGGCGGCTCGGCTCCCGGGCGGCTCGGCTGCAGGGCGGCTCGGGTCCCGGGCTGCTCGCCGACAGGCGGCTCGGGTCGCGTAGAAGTGAGAAGGGGCGGGGCCGCGTCAGGGCCGGCGGTAGGGCCGCGTAGGAGCCGGGGCAGGGCCGCGAAGGAGCCGGGGCGGGGCCGTGATAGGAGCCGGGGCAGGGCCGAGTAGGAGGCCGGCGGTGGGGCCGCTTAAGGGGCCGGCTACGGGGCCGAGTAGGAGCCAGCTGCGGGGCCGCGTGAGAGCCGGCGCGGGGCCGCGTAGGAGCCAGCGTAGGAGCCGGCGCGGAGCCGCGTAGGGGCCGGGGACGGGCCGCGTAAGGAGCCGGCGCGGGGCCGCGTAGGAGCTGGCGGCGTGGCCGCGTAAGGGCCGCGTAAGGGCCGCGTAAAGGGCCGGCGCGGGGCCGCGTAAGGGCCGCGTAGGAGGCGACGCGGGGCCGCGTAAGGGCCGGGGCGGGGCCGCGTAAGGAGCAGGCGGCGGGGCCGCGTAAGGAGCAGGGCGGGGCCGCGACAGAGTGGGCGGCGAGGCCGCAGGGGAGAGGGCGACTCGAGGGGTCGCTAAAAAAATCGCGCCTCGGGGGCGCGCTTCGGTGGGCCCAAAAAAAAAATTTCGGTCCTGGAGGGACCTAGCTCTATACCATGTGAAAATGAGTAAGCAGGAATGAATGAACTATGAATGAAAGCAGTACAAATATGAAACCCTAACTGGGTTGTACCCCCTATGGGATACCCCACTACAGCCTACACAGCAGTATAAGCTATAGATATGTTCTGACAAGGAACACAACACAGCACAATCATGACACACGACTATTGGCACGCTTCTCATCCCCTACCCTACCACGCGTTTCATGATATTCTAGGCTCGAGCTGTCAGAACATTATAGCTTATACATTTGTGTAGGCTGTAGTGGGGTAGCCCATAAGGGGTACAACCCAATTAGGGTTAGCACTTGTACCCAACTCTTTCATAGTTCAATCATTCTCGTTTCTAATCATGGTATCAAGCAGGTTCCCTAGTGGGAATGCTGCCTAGGGCCCACCACGATTTTTTTTCCTGCCCGGAGCACGCTTCACTCCTACCCGAGTCGCGTTTCGTGTGCCCTACCTACCCTCGAGCCGCCCATAGTGGCCCCTTTGGCCGCCTTTACGGCCCCTCGCGCCACCCTCTAAGGCCCCTCGCGCGGCCCCGTCTGGCCCCTTACGGCCAGTCCGCGGCCCCGTCTAGCCCCCTTGCGGCCCCGTCTAGGCCCCTCCGCGGCCCCGTCTGGCCTCTTGCGGCCCCGTTTCGGCCCCGCCTAGGCCCCTTACGGCCCCATCTAGGCCCCCTCCGCGGCCCCGTCTGGCCTCTTGCGGCCCCGTTTCGGCCCTGCCTAGGCCCCTTACGGCCCCTCCGCGGCCCCGTCTAGGCCCCTTGCGGCCCCGTCTAGGCCCCTTCGCGGCCCCGTCTCGCCCCTTGCGGCCCCGTTTCGGCCCCTCTGCGGCCCCGCTTAGGCCCCTCTGCAGCCCCGTCTGGCCCCTTTACGGCCCCGTTCAGGCCCCTCCGCGGCCCCGTCTAGGCCCCTCCGCGGCCCCGTCAGGCCCCTTACCGCCCCGTTTAGGCCCCTTGCGGCCCCGTCTAGGCCCCCCCCCTTTCGACCCCGGCTAGGCCCCTTTCGCCGCTCCTACGCGGCCCCGTCGCCGCTCCTAGCAGCCCCGTCGCCGCTCCCCTCCCTACGCGGCCTCGTAGCCGCCCCTACGCGGCCACGTCGCCGCCCCTAGCGGCCCTGTCGCCGCTCCTCCCCATACGCGGCCCCGTCGCCGCCCCTAGCGGCCCCGTCGCTGCCCCTTCCCGGCCCCGTCGCCCCCCCTGGCGGGCAGCCAAGCCACCGAGCCGCCCAGCAGCAGCAGCCGCCCCTGGAGCAGCCGCCACAGCAGCAACCGCCCCTGGAGCAGCCGCCACTGTAGCAGCCGCCCCTAGCGGCCCCGTCGCTGCCCCTTCCCGGCCCCGTCGCCGCCCCTGGCGGGCGCCGAGCCGCCGAGCCGCACAGCAGCAGCAGCCGCCCCTGGAGCAGCCGCCACAGCAGCAGCCGCCCCTGGAGCAGCCGCCACTGCAGCAGCCGCCCGTGGAGCAGCCGCTACTGCAGCAGCCGCCTCTGGAGCAGCCGCCACTGCAGAACCGCCCCTGGAGCAGCCGCCACTGCAGCAGCCGCCCCTGGAGCAGCCGCCACTGCGGCAGCCGCCCCTGGAGCAGCAGCCACTACAGCAGCTGCCACTGGAGCAGCCGCCACTGCAGCAGCCGCCCCTGGAGCAGACGCCACTGCAGCAGCCGCCCCTAGAGCAGCTACCACTGCAGCAGCTGCCCCTGGAGCAGCCGCCATTGCAGCAGCCGCCCCTAGAGCAGCCGCCACTGCAGCACCCGCCCCTGGAGCAGCAGCCATTGGAGCAGCCGCCCCTGGAGCAGCCGCCACTACAAGAGCCGCGGAGCTCTCGCGCTACAGTGGTAGTGGCGTTGCCATTGCCGCCGTCGTACGCCTGCCCTTCTTGCCACTGGTGAGCACTGCCCTGCCCGTACTGCTGTTCCTGCTGCACTTACTCCTTCTGCTCTTTCTACTGCTACTGCTGCTCTTGGCGTGGCCAGATTCAGCTCCAGCGTCGCCCGCGTGAGTCCCTCACCCCCCAACAGCTTCGTGAGTGGTACGCTAGTTGGGGTTGTCGGGGTGGCCGTAGTGGGAGTCATCCTGGAGTGAGTGGTCCGGTAGCTACTTGTAGTGACCAGGTGCAGCCTCAGCGTCGTGAGTGGTCCTCTCGCCCCAGCAGCTTCGTGAGTGGTACGCGCAGCGTGACGGGTCACGGGGTATGGCTCGCTGTCCGTACGTCATTCGCACTAGTGCTCGGACTAGTGAGCCTTGCGGGACGTTCGGTCACGCATTGTCCCACTACTTTGCTCGTCTGAGCGACGCCTGGCGTACGGAGATTGGCGACGCGGCTGAGCTCCCCGACTGGGTGGAGCTGCTTCGGCTGCGGGTCGATATCTATTCTCGTGAGTATGATGCTATCCTCACTGCCATGTATGCATTGCCTACTAGTGATGAGGGTGACTGTTACATGTGTGTTCCGCCTGACCCGGGCATTGAGGCTGCTGCTCTAGGTGCTGGTGAGGATGCTGCTCTAGGTGCTAGTGCGTCTGCTGCCCCAGGTGCTAGTGCGTCTGCTGCCCCAGGTGCCCTTGCGTGTGCTGCCCTAGGTGCTGGTGAGTCTGCTCTCTCAGGTACTACGTCGACTCAGGCCTTCCACACCTTCATTCTTGACTCGTGTGCATCCCGCTCCTTCTTTTGAGACAGCACCACTCTTACGGTAGGTCAGTCGGTCGGTAGCAGTCTCCCTTGCAGTCCCCTCTGGGGGTCCTGTCATTGCTAGCTTCTCCGCTGTCTTACCGAGCCCGGCAGCCCCCTCTGGCACCCTGTCAGGTCTCTACCTCCCCTCGTTCTCTACGAGCTTGGTGAGTGGAGCGAACCTACAGGATAGGGGGGTTGACCAGTTCACTCCTGCGAGTAAGCGAGTGACCCACTGCACGTGTGCTCGGACAAGCCAACACTTGGCCACGTTCACCTATCGGCCAGGGTCGAGCCTCTACACCCTTACTACTGAGTCTCCTCTGGCTGCTGAGTCTGCCCAGAAAGCTGCGTCGAGTCAGGTGTTTGCTGTAGCGTCCAGGTCTGGTCCTGAGTCTGCTCCCTACTCGTGTCGTCTCCTGTCCCACCAGACTCTCCTTTGGCACCATCGCCTTGGTCACCCCTCCCTGCCTTGTCTTCGAGGCATGGCCTCCCGTGTCCTTGTCTCTGGTCTCCCTCGGTCTCTCCCTCACCTACCTCCGGGGCCTGGCCCTACCTGCGTCCCCTGCGTCGAGGGGCGACAGCGTGCCGCCCCTCACTCCTCTAAGTTTCCTCCGACAGAGGCTCCGCTGCAAACTCTCCACATGGACGTGTGGGGCCCGGCCCGCGTCAGTGGGCAGGGGTGCGAGCGGTACTTCCTGCTGGTGGTTGACAACTACTCGTGTTACACCACAGTCTTCCCCTTGCGCAGCAAGGGTGACGTCACTGAGGTGTTGATCGACGATCCGCTTAGAGAGAGTTTCGGCTCGGACTTTAGTGTTCTGCGTCTGCACTCTGACACAGGCGGGGAGTTTTCCTCTGCCCGTCTAGGAGGCTTCTGTCATGCACAGGGCATCCGCCACACCTTCACGCTTGCGGCCTCTCCACAGCAAAATGGGATTGCTGAGCGCCGCATTGGCATGGTCATGGATGTCGCTCGTACGTCCATGATGCATGCGGCTGCCCCCCATTTTCTGTGACCGTTGCGATTCAGTACGCCGCGCATCAGCTCAACCTTGAGCCCCAGGCCTTCTTGCCAGAGACCTCCCCTGCCTTGCTATGGACCGGGAAGGTTGGCGATGCGTCTGCGTTTCGGGTCTGGGGATCTGGGGCGTTTGTCCGTGCCTTGTCTGCGGACAAGCTGTCCCCCGGGTGTTCCTTGCGTCTTCCTTGGCTTCCCCCTGACGCGCTTGGTTGGCAGTTTTACCACCCCACCTTGCGCCATGTTCTGTCCTCCCAAGACGTCACCTATGACGAGTCGGTGCTTACTACCGTCTTTCTACCCCTACCGCACTGCGCCTCTCCCCCGCCGCTGCTCTTCCTTGCGCCAGGTCCTCCCCAGGTAGACCCTCTCCCCCCTCAGGGTCCTGCCCCGTCAGGTGTGTCCCAGGTAGACGCACTCGAGCCTCTCGAGGTAGCTGTTGACTCTAGTGCTGCTAGAGGTGCTGAGCCTGCGGGTGCCGGGTCTGAGGGTGCTAAGACTGGGAGTGCTGAGACTGGGGGTGCTGAGCCGGGGGGGTGCTGGGTCTTGGGGTGCGGAGCCTGGGGGTGCGGAGCCCGGGGGTGCGGAGCCTGGGGATGTTGAGCCTGGGGGCGATGGGTCTTCTCGTGTGGCCGCCAGCGGTGCTTCGTCGAGGCGGGAGCCACTCTCTCCACAGGAGCTGCGCGAGTGGTTTGCACGCCGCTGGAGACGTGCAGCTGAGACTGGGGGTGCTGCTAGGGCTTCGGGAGTTGGTCGTGCTGAAGCTGCTGGCGGTACTAGTGCTGCTGGAGCTCGAGCTGCTGGGGGTGTTGGCGCTAGTGTTTCTACTGGCACTGGAGCGTCTTGGGGTGCTGCTAAGGCTGCTGGAGCTGACGGTCCTACTAGAGCTGGTGCTGCTGGAGCAGGAGCTGCTCGGGGTGTTGGCGCTGGTGGTGCTGTTGGCGCTAGTGCTTCTGAGGGTACTGGAGTTGGCGCTGGTGGAGCTGGAGGTGCTGCTGGCGCTGGTGCTGGCGCTGGGGGTAATGGTGCCGTCCTTGCTGGTCATGAAGGCTCTGAGCGGCCGAGGCCGTACATCGTTCCGCTCATGGATTAGGTTCTTGGTCTCCCGCCCTCTCCTGGTCCTGCTCCTTCCTTAGAGTGTCCACAGCCTGTCAGGTCGTAGTCACAGTTACAGCCGGCCTCCCCTCTACCTGCTCCTTCTCCCTACACTGGTCCTACTCGAGGTCTTGCTGAGCGTCATGAGCCTGCGTCTGGTCCTGCGTCGCCTGTTCGTGCAGCTCGCACTAGTGTCGTGCTGCGCGTCCGCGTGCTCCTGCGGCCGGCAGACACCAAATGGCACTGCGTCCTTCCACTGCTCCTCTGCGTGTCTCGTTGCCGTCTCCTCCAGAGTCCTCTCTTCCTTCTCTTGCTGACTCGGAGTCTGACTCCCTTTGTGCTGCTCGTCCTTCGGTCACTCGCCTTCTTGCTACTATTGTCACTGACCCTTCCTTTGAGTCCACTACTACGTCTGCCCTAGTTGCTGAGCTTGTCGACTTCACTGCTCGCTATCGTCTAGACTACGCTGCCAGTCTCGCTGCTGAGTCTGAGTCTGTCTGTCCACCGTCCGTCGGGGGTGAGTGTGCTCTTAGCACGGACGTCCTTGAGGACAGGCAAGAGGAGTTCCAGTGCTTTGCTGCTGCTTTGCCCCATCTCGTGTCCACGCTGATTGCCCCTGAGGGAGACCGGATGCACCAGACATCCCGACTCCTCGATCGTACGCTGAGGCGATCGAGGGTCCCTACTCCTCACAGTGGTTGTCAGCGATGGACGCAGAGATGGCTTCCTGGAATTCCACAGGCACCTACGTCGACGAGGTTCCCCCACCTGGGCGAACATCGTCAGTGGCATGTGGATTTTCAGGGTGAAGCGGCCGCCGGGTCCTCCGCCTGTCTTCAAGGCGCGTTACATGGCTCGAGGCTTCAGCCAGCGGCAGGGAGTTGACTACTTTCAGACCTTGCAAAGACCAAGTCGTCGACGTACACGAGGATGTAGAACGGCGGCAAAGAGGTGTCGGTGCGCAGAAACAGCGACGGGTCGACTGTACAAGGAGCAAACCCAAGAGCCGCAAGTGTAGTCCTCAGTGTATCGTGCCACTCACGGGGCGCCTGACAGAGACCGTAGACTGGCCGCCGGAGGCTCCACTTGGTACCTGGAGGAAACGACCAAGTGAAGCCAAGTGGGCAGCGCAGCCAGATCTCCTTGTGCAGGCTCCCCTGCAGGAAAGATGTGCTGAAGTCAAGAGAATGAAGCTCGTAGTCGCGCTGAGCGGCTATGTGCAGCAGCACCCGAAGAGTGGTCATCTTCAGGGGGGTGACACTGCTGGACTCGCCCACGTGAAGTGCGAGCTTCAGAAGAGACACACGTGGACAGACCTGGGTGAACTGCGTAGCTACCTTGGCTTGCAGATCACCCGGGACAGAGCACAGTGCACCATTACCCTGACTCAGTCACACATCGTGCACCAGGTCCTTCAGCGCTTCGGCTTCATGTACTCCTCCCCTCAGGCCACTCCTCTGTCTACTCGCCACTCGCTCTCAGCTCTGCCTTCGAATGAGTCCGTAGAGCCGAGTGGCCCGTACCCAGAGCTTGTGGCTGCCTCATGTACCTGATGACCTGCACACGACCTGACCTTGCATACCCTCTTAGCATCTTGGCACGCTATGTTGCTCATGGGAGACACCAACCAGAGTACATGGCTGCAGCGAAGAGGGTGTTGCGCTACGTGTGCAGTTCGTGGGGCATAGGGCTAGTGCTTGGAGGGCAATGTCGAGTGGTCCTCACAGGTCACGCTGACGCTTCTTGGGCTGACAACCAGGCTCTGCAGTGGTCCTTGCAGGGTTACACCTTCAGCCTTGGCTCCGGCTCTGTTTCGTGGCGGTCTACCCGCTCGTCTTCTGTTCTTAGCTCCAGGTGTGAGGCTGAGATCTACGCAGGGGCCATGGCTGCACAGGAGCTACGCTGGCTCACCTACCTGCTGACTGACCTAGTAGAGCCCCTCGTTCTCCTCCAGTTCTGTACGTAGACACAAGGCCATGGTGGCCTTGTG